AACATGGAGCTTGAACAATTTATGAAAGGGCTTGTGCATTTCCTACCACAGCAGGAGTCGTGCAAATCTTTTCCACTTTGATGCTCCCAGTGCTGCAGTCTGCCATCAATTGCCACATTAGTCCACTTCCCATTGAACAGCCCTACAGAAGGTGATTTTAAACGAGTCATTCTACTCTCTGAGTGTGTGTGCTGAGTTCATGTGTATCTATGTTTGCCTCTGTGGCAGCACAGTGCTGTCTATGGGTGTCCTGATCAGTCCTGCCCAGCTAGCATGGAGAGCATGAAGAGCAAGATCAAAACAACACAGAAGAGTCTACAATAATGCGGAGTGTTGGCACATTGCAAAACAGTTAAGTACCTCCAATTTGAGGGCAAAATCTGGGGAAGTGGGATATATAAGCCTTATTTGAGCAAACACAGTAAAAATAATACTTAACTTGCCCTAATGTTTTATCAGGATTAGTAAAACCAGTGTGTTGATGGGTTATAGATGTAAAATTTGTAGCTATGTGACTCGCTATTTACAATAATTTGTCTTTTTCTGTTCATTTTCATGGAAATTTTTTCAGGGAGCTGCTGTTTTGTGGCAAAAAAAAGTACTATAGCACCTCTACAAGTTTAAAGAGATTCATTTTTGCTGAAGTCTTAGTTTATTTTTCTCCTCCCTTTTGAGGGTATGAGCAGAGTGAGGCCAACTATTTATCTAATGAATGTGTTCTTTGAAAATGATAATTAACAGTTACCATAACGCATGTGCTGTGCTAACTGCTGTTCTGCTCTACATGAACGCAGAAGGTAGCGTCAAGTGGTTAAAAGCAAAGGATGACAAAATAATACAGTAAAGAGGTGTAAATCACAGCCTTCAAGCTGCCAGCTTGTGCCAGACCTCTGTGTAGGCAAAGCTGTGTCAGCTGACCACAGAGATGTGTGACAGGTATTGGGGGACACAAGGCAATGTGACAAGTCAATGCTGCCTTGAATGCCAATGTTGACTGTTTCTGCCTGGGTTTGGGTTGTGGAGCAGCAGAAAAACAAGAAGGATACCCCAAGCAGTGTCCGTTAACATGGAAGCTACCATCAGTTCCATGGCTAGAAGTTTAAAATGCACACCTCTTTGTTTTGGTGTTGGTCCTTTTGTTTTCATTTGTTTGGTTGGTTTTTGTTCGGTTGGTTTTGTTTGGTTGGTTTTGTTTGTTTTGGTTTGTGATGATTTGTTTGTTTGTGGTTGGGGGGGTTGGGTTTTTTTGGGGGGGTTTTTTTGTTTGTTGGGTTTTTTTGAGTCATGGACTCGGACTGCATTATTGTTCAATATTTCCTTAGGTATGTCTTCTAGCTGACAGAGCCTGAAGCTTTACCTTAGAGCTAAGCTCTTGATAAGACCCACTGAACTGTAAGTAAAGAGGATGCTGCAGCTATGCAAAACATGAAATTATCAGGTCATCTGCCCAGAGCTGTTAAATAGCATGCCCTCTTCCCTAAGAAGAAAGAACAGCATCTTACATATAGATTAATGATTCATCTGCAAAAATAAACAAACAAATAAATAAAATCTGACACTATATAACCCAAACAAGAGAACAACAATTTCATCATAGGATTTTATAAAAGAAGTACAGCAACTGCTCTGCTTCAGCATTCCCATGGTGTTTGCTAAATAGCGTGTGTAGACGCAATCAATTGCTCATTAGACATGCCACACATGACACAGATACAAACAATCATGGCATTACTGATTTACCCTTGACCCTGTGCTACTATCACATATGGGGCGAGGTACGAGAACACAATAGCTGGGGAGCCATTTTTCCTATTCCTTGTAGAAAAACTTCTCCATTGCTTTGCAAATATTGTTCAGGAAGACACAAACCTGCTGCATCTCAAGATGAGACAACATGTACCTTTGGAGGGTGTGGACACTGTACACTGAGACCTCGGAAAGTAACCTCCATCAGTACTGGGAAAGGCTCTTCCGTGAGATCGCTGGTGTCAGGAAGCTGAGCCAAGCCTCTCGGGTAGGTCTGCATAGGTCTGCTCTACCACATGCAACTTCTGCAGCTGCTGCTAATGACCCTATGCCTGTAGGGCAAAGAGCGTCTCTAAATCAGGAACTTTTGAAGAGACTCTCCCTACAGTCCCCACTTGCCCTATGAGGCTTTGCAGAGTAATTTCTATTGGATGAAGATGGACCAGAAAATACACCATAGGAGAACAATATGTGTATTTCAACTACTAATCAGCTTCCAGTCCACATAACTAGCTCTGATATAAACCTCTCCAACATGCAGTGAATGTGGATACCAGGTTTTCTGCACCTGCTGTTTCCTTTTCAGACCCACTCCTGCTGAGCAGCACTGCACAACCCACCTGGCTCTGCTGTATGCTTCTCCAACAGACACACTGATTCACACTGAGGATGGAGTGGCAACAGTGATGTTCTGCACATCCTGTTGATGTCTATTCATCCTGACAGCTAAAGTGGAGCCAATAATGATACTTGCAGCAGGCACAGATTATGGTAGGTGCTGTATATAAACAGCATGCCCTAGTTCTTCATGAATGACCCTTGGACTCTGCCCTGCTCCTTCATGTAGAGAGAAGCCTGTCCATTAGGTCACAGGGGTGAGGAGGAGGAGGGCAGGCGGTGCATGTGAGTGAATTGTGCAGTGTCTTCCCCCAAGCCGAAGTCTTTCCAGATGTCCACTCCTGCTGTGGGAGCCAGGATACCCTTGGCGGTTTCCCTGGGTCTTTCACCACGGGTATTTTTTTCCGTAAGCAAGCCAACTCTCGGTCGTGAGTGATGGCAGGGAACTTTTCAACAGCATCTTAGCATTCGTAGCAAAGGAGAAAAGCTTCGGCTCCCCGGGCTCAAACACCAGGTGCCACATAACGAAGCAGCCGGTTAAAAGGTACCGGCCCGGCACTTCTGCCCCCGTCGGGTCAGTGGGGGGGACACGATCGCCTTAACCCCGCACATCACAGCAGCGCTGCGGGGCGGGGCCGCGCGCGGGGGCGCGCGCGGGGGCGCGCGCCCTGCGGCGCCCCCTGGCGGTGCCGGCGGGACTGCGGGCGGAGCGCTCCGGTGCGGGGGGAGCCCGCAGGGATGGAGGGGCCGCCGCGCCGAGGGCCTGCCGTGTGCGTCACTAGGGCTCTCTGGAAAGGAACAAGCCCTACTCACCAGGGTTGGTTGGTGGTTGGTTGGTTTGGTTTGCTTATTTGTTTTTGTCGGTTTGGTTTGGTTTGGTTGGTTGGGATTTTTTGGTTGTTTTTTTGTTTTGTTTTGTTTTGTTTTGTTTGTTTGTTTTCTTTTGGTTTGTTTTGTTTCGAGACCCAGATTTCCTAAATCCCAATTCAGTTTAAAAATATCTCTTCGGAGGATTTCAGCGCCCTCGCCATCGCAGGTTCTGCGCTGGGATACGCGCCTGCAGGGGACCATCACTCGCACGGCAGCATCGGTGTCAGGAGCGGGTACCGCTGGTGGGATTCCGCTGCTGTGGGAAAGTGCTGCTAGAGCAAAGCAAATCGAACCCTGTCTCCTGTACTCCCGTATTGCCTCACAGACGCGGCAGTGCCGATGTTAAAAATCAGACTTCGGATTTAGATTTTATCCGAGAAGAAATTCGCACCCTGCAGCTCCGTTTGGTACGTGGTATTTAGTGTCTGGAACTAGGTTTTTGATCTTAGAGCAGCACTGTGCAAAGTTTTTACTGCAATGAACAGGTTATGCTCAGCTTCATATCAATAGATGTCTCAACCGATTTCATATGTTAACCAGCTTATGGTCAAAATCTTAAAAATAGAGTCCTATTAGGAAAAATCTCAACAACTCATGCAGGGTTACATAGTTGAAAACTCACATACAACATTCTGTCACTATGACTAGAATGCAAGGTGCCTTTAACTACAAAAACCCCAACATTCTACAGCTCTGCAGTAGTGTGGCAAGCAATGTCGAACAAGGTAATTTTGCTTGAAGAGCTCCAGTTTAAATGAAAACTAGATTGAGCAAAATCTCAAATACAATCTTCCAGATGCTCTGGGGAGCTAAATCAGTATAATCTAGAAGGGCTGTGACAGTTCACCTAGGTTGAAGACCTTTGCAAACAGGTTTGTTCTTTCACTCATTATAGAGCAGAAAGAATTCATAATGCTGAGAGGAGAATTCCTGTGATGGTTATATCACAGTAAAATAAATCGAAACCAAAACAATACCCCCCCCCACCAAGAAAAAACAACAACCTCCCCCAACAAAAAACCTCCAAGCAAACAAAAAAACCACCCTAGAGATAAAAAAATTGTTTATAAAAAATGGATGAAAGGAGAAGGTAGAAGGAGGAGAAGGAAGAAAAGCCATCATAGAATTTTTCCCTGTTCTTAAAAACAATAATCAGCAATCAGTACAGCAAGGAAATGTCATCAGGCTGGAGCCTCTCATATCTGTTCATCATTAAAACACTCCCACAGAATTCAGGTAGAATTCATCTGATCGGTCAAGATCATTTTAATATGTAGCTATTTAAATTCAATATTCAGTCTTCTCTTCAAAAAGAAACTGAGGACTCTCACAATGAATTTAGAGTCTACAGAACTAAACTTTAAAATAAATATGGAGTCCACAGTGCAACCTTCTAGGTTTTTTCATTTACTCTGACAGTATGATTTGATGCAATAAAGATATGATTACCCCATGAAACACGTTTATGCCATGTATATGGGAAGGAAGAGCAGCAGGAAAAGTCTGTGGTTTCTGACTGAAGGAATTTTCCTGTTGTGGGGGAGGGTGACCGAGTAGAAATTTTGACCCTAGTCCTGCAATTGGATCCATCAAGCCTGACCTCTGTGCTATTGCAGTGCTTGCTGGAGTCAGCAGAACTACGTGCTAAGTGCAGGGATCTGTCCATGTGGAACTAACTGGGGATTTGGGACCTTCCAGTTTCCTGCTGTGGAGGGAGGATGAGTTCACCTCTGCGTAAATTCTGGAAGAGGAGCAAGAGACTTCCATAAGAGAAACTTGCATTTATTTTTAGATCTTCTGTTCTCTCACTCAATCCCATAGAGATCATACTGAAAACAGCATGCCTCCCTTTCTCCAACCACACGTGCCTACCTGCTAACTCCAGCCATCGCTGCTGAAAACCAGCACGCCCCATATTTCTCTAGTGAGAAAAACCCCGCACATAGTTTGTAGTCACTGTTTCGTAGTTGCTGCTTCAGTTGCTAATCCAACTTTGAGTCAGTTTACATTTTGTGACTCAAATATGACCTCTGTCAGCGTCTGTCCACCACTGTGGAGTGCAGTGGTTGGCTTTTGTCCCTCCAAAAATGCTTTATTTCTTGGCAACCTCTATGTATACAGGACAAGGAGGTTGGTGTGCACCTGCAGCTCCATGCAACTGGACAATGTTCTGAATGCACCACTGCACCCAGAGCCTAGGGAGGCTGCATGGAAACTCCATGACTTCAAGCTGTCAGATACATCCGGTTGGTATGCAACTGTCAGTGCTCAAGTGCCAAGCTTCTCCAGCCCTTAGGAATGAGATCAATCACAGATGAAATCTGGCAAGAGCTGAGAAAGCTGCGTTGACAAGTAAGAGAAAGTTGATCCATTCCATAATGGGCACCTGCTTTTAGCTGTGCTAGGCCAGGCTTGGAGACTGACCCACAGGCCCAACAGCAGTGCACCACTTGGTTACTTTGGATGACCATTTGGTGACCATTACCTCTAGAGCATTTTGTGTGATGTCCACTCCCGCAAGTGAGGGCTGAGAACAGCTTTTGGGTTGAGCCCTTCGAGACAGACAGACAAACCTGACAGGATTCTGCATAGGGAAATACTGGCTTGTCCAGCTGTGTCAGGGCACTTCTAGGCACAGAGTGTGGAAATACAAAATAAAAACATAGAGACTCACAGCAATCTCATTGCTCTGGGGTTTAAACAGTCCCTGAGCAAAGTTTTTTTGGACCTTCATTCTGGATTGCAAAATTTCAGAGCTTATATTCTTTGTTAGATGCAGCTGTAAACACACTTTAGAGGATCACAGAATATTCTGAGTTGGAAGGGACCCACAAGTATCATCAGGTCCAGCACTTGAATGAAAGGCCCATTTAGGGATCCAACCCACAACCTTGGTATTCATTAGCACTGTGCTCTAACCAACTGAGCTAATACATTGTTGTGGATACAATGCCTGGAACCATGTTGATCTTGAAAACTGAACTTGCACAAGAAAGTTCACTGTGGCCCATAGTTGCCTGAATGCTCTGGGGAAACCTACAGACTGAGTTGTGTGCTCTACCACAGAGTGAGGGTGCAGCAGGTAGAAGCTGTGATTGTCAAAGTCCTTAACAGTGGTAGGACCACACACCCCTGTCAAGGCTTCAGAAAGGTGCCGTTTTCTTTAGAGACATTAACCTAGTAGTTATTATTTGGACTTCTGGTGGGAGACAGTGCTTTGCATCCCAGCAGGTGGAGAAGGGAACTGAATTTGACGCATGCAAGATCTCTTAGAGATCTGTGTAAAGTGGGCAGAAGTCACTATTTGTATTTTCTCTGTTCTGAGATGTTCTGGTTTAAGCAGGGTGCCCCAAAAATGCCTACAGAACTGAGCTGTGCTACAGGACTGGGTTGTGCAGATAAACCAAGCAGAGGGAGTCTAATCTGTAGACTGGACTTATTAATGAGTAAGCTAGTCTAAAGAATCAGACAGAATTAAGATATAATATGCACTTTCATGGATCAGACACTTGAGCACTTTTGAAGTTTCCCAAGCAATCAAGAGTAAAAATATATCAAGAATAAGTCAAATGTTTTCCAGTGATGCTGAATGTCCAGGAGCAATCAAGCTTCTTACTGGGGAGTCCTAGTAGGGACTTAGATCCCTGAGTTTAATAGCTTTGCTATTAATAGTTTTGCTATTAAATAATTAATAGCTCTGCTATTAAACTGCATCACAAAGGGCTAATGAATTTTGACAGAGAAAAAGAAGGGATTGGATAAATATCTTCAGTGATACTGAACTGTGTATCAATACCAAGATCTTGCTCACACCTGCTTATCACACAAGTGCTTAAAGAAAAGATTTTCTGGGATTCATGTTGGCATTTCTTAGAATTGTCATCTGTTGCCCATGGTGATTTCATGAAGACAGTGGGTATATTTCCTCATAAGGTGGAGGTGACAAGTTATTACAGTCTTCCCCCAGTTCTTCTGGCTCATTAGAACTGTCCTCTGACCTGAAAAGAGGAAGAGGAGTAGATGCAAAAAGAATTTACCAAACACAAAGCATACAAGTAACCTCAGTGCTTCATCCTGATAGCCTTATCTGGGTGAAGTACTTCCTGGCTTCTTGAGAAAATGCTATGAGATGAAGTTTTACTGAGATTCTGCTGTTTGCTCTGTTCTTTTTGTGAAGTATAAACATGCCAGGAGGTGACCTTTGTCTTCATCCTGCCTATGCCTGTCACTATGTTGCTGAGGATGAGGCAGTCAGCAGTTTTTCAAACAGGCTTTGATAAATGAACTAACAGTGACTCGTGTTCTAGGAAGGATATAATTCTGAGTAATTCCTGTAATCAGAATATTTTTCCTTAGAGGAAAGAACTATATATAATTATTTTGTGTACAATTTAAGAACTTTCATACTGCTGTGTAATATTAGTGATCTGGTTTATGCCTCAAATCTACTAAAAGAGTAAGAGCTGGAAGGTTTCTACAGTAGGAAAGGAGCATGTTGTCACCAGGCATATTCAGGAGGGAGAGCATCTGGTACCAGACTGATTACTGCATTGTTGCAGAAATGCTCTTTGCGTGCTGACTCATGTGTTTGATTGCGTTTGAGTGGAAGCCTCTGGCTGTACATACAAAAACCTAAAGGCAGTAAGATAAGCATTAAAAAACCTCCACAGACAGGAGCATATATAGTATCAGCATATACTAGTATCTTCAAAAATAACAAGAGATTTAGTAGAAAATTGAAAGGCATTTGTAAGTGAATTTAAATTAGACAAAAATACTTTCAAGACAAGTATGCCTCCTTACTCTTTACTTGTGAAGAATTTCTAACAAAGACAAAAAAAGTCTGAGAAAGGAAAATACCCTAGACTAGCTCTTGTTTCCTATGAAACCACACATAGTACTTAAAATACTCAGAAGCCTGTGTCCAAACACGCTAAGGCATTTCAGAAGATGTACCTGTGATTCCTGGTATTCTCTGCAGGATAAGTGGTGTAGTTCTCATCTCCAGTAAAAGCCAGGTTATCCAGAGGGTAAGCAGGGCAGAAGTGAGGAGAGCCTGGGGTGGGAACTGGAGAGGCACTGGAGGAAACAGCACTGCAGCAGCTAAGCACTGGGTGAAGGTAGCTGGGACTCACAGGAATGCCTTCCTGGGATGGGTACGGTGGAGGGATGTACTGTACCACTGTGGCACCATGAAAAGTTATAGGCTGGTTAATGCCGGTGAAGACAAAGGACTGCCCGCTTGCAGTCTGGTCGAGGTCTGACACATTTTCCTCTCTTTCTTTACAGGGCTTGCATGTGAGCATGTTAAATTTGCAAACAGCGATCAGAATAAAAGTCACCCCAACAGACAGCAGAATAGGTCCTAGTAACTGAGTCCATTCCAGGTGAGTAATGCCATCGTATTTTATCCATCCCATCACGGTGAAAGTGATCCCCACCAGTCCCAAAAACACACCTGAAAAGAGCAGAGTGGTGCCAGCTTTATCCCCGTCTGACACCAGGGCATCAGATCTGTTTGTCTGACAAGGAGTAACAGAAAAGACATTCAAGGAGAAATCATCTACACTGTTGTTGTTTTGCTCCATTACTGAGTATAATGTATCTTCTGCCTCAAGAGAAAGGGGGCTTGTAAGGGACTTGGCAGAGCATTTAAAGTCGAAGGTTCAGGTTAGTTATACAAGAACTTTGTGTGTGTATGGTTAACAGAATCCATCATGTGAAAGAATAAACTTTGCTTAGGAGAACAAAGGTCTGGGAAGTGAAGCCTGAAGCCATTGCTAAAAATTTCTTGAATTACCACTATCACTTCCGAAATGGTTTCACCCTTGAATGGCTGCTTATCTCTTTGTTTATCCTCTAATTTAGCACCTGTGATACTTACTGTGCCCACGCTGGATGGGAGAAAAGGGAAGCCAGAACTATTGCAGCTTTTCCTAGGCCCCAGCTAGCTGATGCATCCAACATATGGACAGCATCTGTTTAGTCAACAGCAGTGTGGCAATTCTGGCTCTCCCACTTCCAGCTCCATTTTCTGCAGGAGAACGCATGGCCATTGCTAGGAATGCTTTGCTGTGCTCTGAAACGTGACATTTATAGCTGTGCCTGGACCTCTTTTGCAGCCGGTTCTGCAGTCCAGAGCTTCCACGGTTTAAAAAAATATAAAAGTAGCCTTTCTGATATTTTGCTGGGGCAACCACCGGGGGGGTGGGGGCGAAGGGTAAGCAGCAACAGGGTGGTGAGCACTGAAAAACCTGAAGAGCTGCTGGTTATGGGAGAAATGTTATTTCAAGCCAACCACAGCTTTCCAGCTGCTTGAAGGTAGCGTAACTGCCCTGTAATTTCCCCTTAATTGTGGACGTTTTTGGTTGTGGGATCTCCACCCCTTCCTCAGAGTTTATACAGATTAATGCCTACATACCCTGAATAGCACATCACTGCAGGAATGGGAAAACATCTCCTGTAATGCTAAACCTGGTAGAGCAAGGGATCTTATCCTGTACTCAGAAGTACCTCGAATACTTTTTCACATCACAATGAATTGTTCTGCTGAATTTATGTGCCATATATTAAGCAGGAAGATTAACTGAATTTTGGGATTTTCTGTTTCCTAAGAGTTTCAGACCAAAGTAATTGCTGTTGGAGGGTTATGTTAGAATGTCTTTGTACAATTCCTTAAGGAAGAAAATCTCCAACAACTTGATCTGTTTGACTAGCATGGCAGAGGACTATACACAGGACATTGATTACTACTCAGGCAGTAGAACCCATAATACTATTTCCTGCTACCAGCAGCTCTGGGGAAGCAAGCTTATCCTGAGATTTTTAAGACAAAAATAGCTCTAGAACTAGAAAATTGACCTTTCAGCCTGCTTCTTCAAAGTCAGTAAAGGCGCCTTTAGTCTACTGTGCATTCATATCACAGAGTGTGACAACAGCTCTCTTCTGAAAGAGGCTGCCCACCAAATTTGGCACCTTTAGAACTGAACCCCATTGCTGAATGCAATTAAGATGTGTCTTTCTCATTTGTTAGCAGACAGACCTTGAGCAATATTAGTGCTGGATTCCTTCAGAAAACATCTGTGAAGTTACCAAAGTCAGTATTATGTCTCATCCACTATCCAGGGTGCCAGCAAATTTTTTGACAAATACACTCAAGACCAGCTTTTCCCACAGTACCAAGTCCAGTCAGGATTCTCTGCACCTCTTAAGGAGCAAAGAGTTCAGGCTTGCAATGCAGTGGTTTCATATGATAACTAAATTAGAAAGTGCTGAAATACTAGATAATCTGTCCTTGTATTGGTAATTATAGCCAAAATTTAAGCAATCTTTAAACTTATGTTTGTTAAACTTAATGGAATGAACTTCCGTGATTGCTCTTTGAAAATCAGGTTCTTCCATACCATGAATCATTCTTACCACTGTTGAATCTTCCAGGTTTTCCAACAACCTTTTAAAAGCAGCACTATATTATATTATAATGGCTCTCTTACTAATAGTATATACAGATGTATTGTCACCTTTTTCCTCTCATTCATTCAAGAACTCTGCAACTGCTATTTGCAATGGATTGTGCTGAAGAACTTCCTCAATCCTAAGCAATGGTCCTTAGATGCTGTTTGGAATCAGAATTTTCCAGGTTGGGTGTTGCATCAACCCTCACCTCTCTCTTTGCCTCTGGTCTAGGACATGACTTCATGACTGTTGAGCAAGTGTACAGTAGAGATGGAGAATACAGGTTTCTTTTTTTTCTTTCCCAGGCTACTTGCCACTGGAACTTTGAAAATAGGATGGAAAACACTTTCCATTTGGTGCAGTAGAATCTAACCCGAGATTAGCTCAGTTGCTTATAGCATGGTGCTAATAACACCAAGGTTGTGTGTTTGATCCCTGTATGGGCCATTCACTTAAGAACTGGACTCAATAATCCTTGTGGGTCCCTTCCAATTCAGAATATTCTGTGAAATTTCTGTGAAACTTACATTAAAATTACTTTCTCTATAAACTGCCCTCTCTTTGTAAGAGATAGTTTCCTCTAAGCCTTCTCTGATTATTTCCCCAGACAATGCTAATGCTGCATTTAGGCAGCTGTCAAGGTCCTGAGAGATTACTGGATCACACTGATTTTTTTAAGGCCAGTACTTCTCTTTGCCAATAAGTGTGTGTTCTGGGAACTCACTTAAAGATGCTGATTTACTATATGCATCCCCTTTTACCTTGAATAACTCCTAAGCAAAACGGTTTTGTGGAACCTAAGAAATTGGTCAGAGTGAGGTTTTTCAGAATGAGTGCCGTTTTCAGATCTCACTACAGTTTTGTTCTTATCTGCTTCAGACCTTACCCCTCAACACATGCACTGCTTTGCCTTCTGTTCTTCTATGTAATTTTCTATCACCAACGCAGACTTCTCCTGCAGTGTTTGGTGCTGGAAGCAGGTGCTCTGCATGTCCTCAGTTCTCTAACCTGTTTCAAGAGCCACCCCAGTAAAGACTAACAGGCCCTCACTTAACCCTTTTCTTCTCTCCTTCTGTTACTTATTTTTACACAGTTGTACATGTTATCAGCCTGTTGTAGTAAGGTTTTATTTTCTCACACGCCTGTAACGTAGGCAGGGACTTAGTCAAAGAACATGCAAATGAAGCCACATAACACGTGGTATTGCACACCGACTGGCTTAAAAATGAGCAGGTGCAAATTATCACTCCATAATGAAACATTCAGTTGCAGGGAGATTTAGCCAATGACTTGACTTAGTAAGACTTTTTCCTAGAGAAAGGCAACTGCATATGGCATCCTTAGTGGAAAATACAAATAATATGTGTAAGGCCAGCATATGAAGAACCACCACAAGTGGGCCTTGCACTCCAGGGCTTTGAACTACTGCACTGCCAGCACCAAAGCAAAAACAAATTGAGAGGAGCAGGTTCAGCCAGCTGCCCACAACTATGTTTACCTGCAAGGTAGTTTTATGTGCTCCAGGGAAATCGTGTTGGCAGGCATACCAAATTGAAAGTATTTCCATACTTAACTATTCAGATATATGCATGTGTGATAGAGGGAGGAGCACTGATCTAGATGAAGTCTGGCACATTCACTGCAGAACTGTGGAGGGATTGGACTTATATAAGTCATGACTCTGAAGAGATAGGACGGAAAAGGGATAAATGGATACAGCAACAGAAGGGGCAAGGGTGGAGTGGGTGCAATCCAGGGAGTGTCATTGTCCTAAAAACATAGCAACATTACAAAGATCTGTGCAACCTCAGTTTTTCAGATGAGGTTTTTCAGATTTTTGTGAATCCTTCTCATATTCAAAGGATTGCAGTGCTGCAGTTAGAAGCAGAGCAATGTCAGTGCTGGCAGCAAGAGAGACCTTAACTTCACTCAGAAAGGATAAGCAACCCTTACCTCCCACTTTGCTTGTTTAAGTAAGTGTGAATCAGTAACCAACTTGATTTGCTCCCTAGCATTTGTATGTCAAACACTTCAGCTAACCTTAGGACAGAAAGAGGGTTATAGCACCATTAGTGTGACAGTAAAGTATCTCATTTCCTCAATAAAAAGGCTATTCCATATTATTTTAAGCTACTTTTATAATTTTACAAGGAGTTGCTTCCTTTCTAATATAGACATTTCACTCCTACTCCCCACATCAAAAATTCCTCCCTCTAATGCTGTTCACCCAGTGGTAGTCTTCAGTGCTGAAGGCAGATCTGCTTAGCCCCTTACTCACATTTTCTGACCTTGCTGCAAGATTTCAAAAACACAGTAGGCAAATACTGTTGCACTGGCTATGTTAACTCCCTCAGTGCTGAGCACTTTATGGAGATGCACCCAGTACATCCTCTGAGTGTTCAAGTAATGATTCTTCAAGTCAAAAGTAGAAGATGCTTATACAGCTACACACTGAACTATTTCCTAAGCATCTTCTCAAAATTATACAGAAAGAAATTCAGTTTTCAATCATTGTTCTCAGAGGTAACACCTAGCCTTCACAGGAAACTCAGGTGCTGAGTCTGAAGTCAGGTCAGCAGCTTTCTAAACCATGCTTTCTGTGAAGACTGCTTTTTTAGAAATAAAGTGATCCACACTGAAGACTCTGCAGTAGATGATCAAAACACAATGATCTTGAAGAAAAACAAGAAGATCATGTCACTTTTACAGAGGACTCAGCTGAGTCAACATATACTACTTGATTTGTCTGGTCTCTTGGGTGCATCTTGGGAACAACCAACTCAGCAGGTTGCAGGCAGCAAAAAAGGTTAATACTTTTTCAGTTAGCAACCAGATGCAACTGTTTTGTTTTTTTTTTTAAGATGGTGACATATTTCAAGATTTGTTTAAACACTTTTTTGATGGTAAGCCTTTTGAGAAAATGAGTGCTCCAGACAACAGCACAAACCCAACATAGCTCTTGGTTGCATGATATCTTTCAGGTAAAATATCCCAGCTTCTGTCCTTGTTATAGAATAGCATGAGAAATCCAGAGATACACAGGCTCCTTCGACATGTGCAAGGCTTTGTATGCACAAATCATGCACAGCAGTGGGCATCACTGTTAAAACAGGTCAAACAAAAGCTAAAAAAAGAATAATCAAAAAGATGGCAAACCATAGCTTGTATTGCAGATGGCATATAAGGAGCAGCATCCTTGAAAAACTCGCTAGGTAAGAAACATTTGAGAGAAAAGAGGACAATATGCCTACTGGCTTTTGTGGATTCCCTTTTTTCATACAGACATTTCCCATGGCTGAGTCATGCCAGTTTAATCAGCTCCCACATACAAAATCCCTCTTTGTGCTGTGTTTGCTCATTACTTTGCGTGCATAAGCCCCTCAGCTCTATTGCTGGCTAAATATACCTCTTGCTGGCTGGTTTGTTTTTGTGTAGCTACACAAAGAGTTGCTCTAGCATGACTGAGTGAACAACACAGAGTTGGAAAAGGCAAATGCAGGAGCTCCTGAACATCTCTCTAAAGCACTCAGCAGGTGAGGGGCATGTTCATAGAAGGATGACACAAGGTAACCACCTTTCGCTAGGCACAGGAGGGAATTCGAATGCTTAATTCATAGTTTGGCATTCTGTTACAGCCAGATTCAGCAAGGTAGAATACAAGTTTGAGGTGTAGGTGAGGTCCCAAAGCACGCAGGTGTTCAGAGACTCAGCTGAACAATACAGATATCACTCTTGAGAGATGTTTTAATGATGGCAAGTTCATCATTCTGAACCAAGCCTAAAGATTAGCCTTGCCACTTCTTTTTCTGGGCACAGAATCATGTCTGCTTTTCTCAAACAGGGTTCAGAGCAAGTTGTAAAATGTCAAAGATTACCTGCTACAAGCAAACCCTTCTGCTCAGGAAGAGGTGCAAGCAACCACAATATAGAACTAGAACCTCCAGCTGGAGGACAGGCTGCTACCACTAACCTAGGGGCTGCAGAGGGATGGAGAAGCAAAGAGGGCTGTATTTCTGAAGGGTCTGTCAAGTGCTGTGTTGGTTAAAAACATCTGTTGCATGTGTTTCCACGAAACTGCCTCTCCTGCATTTGCTGATAAGTAATGTCTGCACCTGAAAGATACCATTGCTTTGTGGCTCTCACTCACACAACAAGCACAGCACTCCCTGTATAAACCATGAATAATGGTAAAAAACTGCAGTATAATCCCCCTGAAATCAGTCATTACCACAGTTAAACTGTCAGCCTATTAACTATCCTCAGGGTTGCCTTTGGGCTCTTAACTGTAGCTAAAACCGATTTTCACAGGGATTATACTTACATAAGGACCAGAGACAGTCTAAATAAAGCTATGGAGTGTTTGCTACCAGGCAGAACAAAATGTAACCATTTAAGTTCTTCACAGCATCTCTGGTACCAAGCTTAAACATCCTTATTTGCGAATGGTCTCAGAATACTTACAAAGTCAATAACTTCGCAAACCACTATTTTCCACAGAAGTCATGCAAAAATAGAAATGAAAACACTCTAATTATTTCTCTTTTTTTGAAGCTCCAAACAGATTTAATTAAAATAATCAAAAAAAGTTGGTCTCTACTTAACGCCTTCATTATAAAAAGAACAATTAAAAATAGAAACTGAAGCTGTAACAGAACCAGATGAGTGTTTAACATTCCTGCAGTGAACTCCCTTCAGACTACTTTAGCAGAAGCCTAGCATTATCTGTTATTTCTTGAAATCCAAATTCATTGTTCTTCCTGATGAAAGATTAGACACAGCCAACATTATTGCTTTTATTACAAAATGTAAATAAATTCAAAAATTGTAAATCTCTGTGTACAATTTAATTTAAAAATTAAGTCAACTGACAGTCTTCTATGAGCTGATGTCAGATGTGGCTAAGGAAATAGATGAAAAAGATGAGGAAGAAGATGGTGAATATTCATTATTTGTTATTGATGCTTTTTCTTCATATTTTGGAGGAGATTCAGAGCAGAGGTATAGCATTGGTAAAATATCTGAAGGTGAGCTGCTTCCAGAAATTGTACATATGGTTTCATAGTCTCTAACAGCAACCATTCTTTCATCATCTGCAAGCTGTGCTCTATAAAACACAAAACTGTGTATTAGCATAATTCATTTATCTACAGAGTGAAATTCTACTTGACTTACATAAACATACATGTATGCACACACTTCCTAAAAATCCCTGAAGCAAAGAACTTGCACAAGAATTAGGAGTTCATTCGGTGGGCTACATTATGACTCATATGAAAATTCTATCATTTCTGAGGGGAAGGGCAAAACAAGCTCCCTTCTAACCTCTCAAATCACCAGTCACAGCCTGGCTTATGGGCATTAGCTGCTTTTGGCAGTGCTATCTCACAATCTTATTAAATCTCCTGATCCATAGCTCCTAAAGTATTCCCTTTTGTAGTATA